TTCCAAGCCTAATTATGCTTGCCTACAAGTATCTTTTTCATCATGTCTTCCAAGGCGGCAAACCTTCCATCCATCTTTTCATGGATAGAAGCAAATTGATTCTAAAAATCAACAATTTTTTCCTCAAAATCGATCTTAAGTTGACATTTTTCTCCCTCCAATACTTCAACTATACTTCTGGTCATTTTCCTTCCCACGATTTAAAAGAGAATCTTCTTACGGATGAAAATTCCTTGCTAAAAATTCTAGATTTCAACCGCCGATGGTCCCAAGACAACACTCTGATACCAATTTGATAGGAAGTAGTTGAGTTCGCAAGTAACTCCAAGGGTAATAATTGAGTTCGCAAGCAAACCTAGCAAGATTGGGTGAAAAACAGTGAAGAAAACTGTTGTTTATAGCAATCATTAAAAAAGCGGACGAGGCGTCCGCATTGAGTCGTGCCTCAAGTCAAGGCGGAAGACATGCGTATAGGGGCTTACGCCTCGAACCATGCAGCGAAGCCTACGATTTTTTCGCACGACGCGTACGCATTAGAGCGTAATGCCTCGAGGCAGTATGAGGCACCGCCTCGAAATTTTTTCTTCGATATATATGTAAATACGACGCAGCCGATTCGTGTTCGTGTATTCACGTATAGGATTAGGGCTTCCTGTAAGAATTGAAAGGCGAACTAGAGGCGAAGCCGTGAGAGAAAGAGACGAAGCCGTGAGGGAAGGAGACGAAGCCGTGGGTGTAGGAGACGACGCGAGGAAAGAAACGAAGCCGAAGTTGTGAGTGCAGGAAACGTTCAGGCATCGGTTAGGTCGGAAGAGCAGGTACGCGGTGTTGTGGCCTTGACTTTGACGTGCAGTAACGAAAGCTTGAATAACTCCTGATTCGGCTTTCTTTCATTCGTCCACTCAGTACATACTCGGTACCGAGCAGGTACAAGCTCGGTACCGCTCAGTACATGCTCGGTACCGCTCAGTACATGCTCGGTACCGCTCAGTACATGCTCGGTACTACTAGGTACCGAGCGGTACCGAGCAAGTACATGCTTGATACTTAGCGGTACACGCTCGATACCGAGCAAGTACCACTCGGTACAGATCAAGTACCGCTCGGTACCGAGCAAGTACCGCTCGGTACCGAGCAAGTACCGCTCGGTACCGAGCGGTACATGCTCGGTACTGAGCATATACAACAAGTCGAACCCCGTCAGGGGGCAGCGCCCCCTTGGACCCCAGGCAGACTGGTATATTTTTGTATTTATGTTGTCTTATTATTGGTAGTACAAATAATTATTAAAATATATCCTATTGTTAGTATGACTAGGAAGAAAGATCCTGCATAGAAATATGAAACTCAAGTTAAAGTGTCAGACGAAGGTGCAAAGAAGGGATATGTTTACATGAAATGTAATTTCGGTGAGAAACACATAACTGGTGGCGTCAAAAGATTGAAGGATCATCTAGCCTGCACTCATGTCAATGTGGAACCATGTGCAAAAGTTCCTGATGAGATGAAAAAGGAATGTACAAATTATTTAAAGAAGTACGTCGTTGATACCACCACATACAACAAAGCAAATGCATGGCCGATCCAGAACTTAACTACGGCCTCTCCTACGACGAGCAAGGGTTTGTTTGCATCTTACATTCGACCTTCTTCGACGTCAACCCTCGCATCGACCATACCGTAGAAGAGTACGTAGAGCGCATCTTGGATACTTTGGCTGAGGTTACTAAAGAGCAACTTGGAACCTCGAGTGGATGATTACAACCGATCCTTAACAAAGTTTTTCTAATCTCTCTCTTCATGTATTTCTTAAAGTCTAACCCTTGTGATTTGATTTTAGTCATGAAGATCACATTTGTCTAATTCTGTCAAGCTTAGTAAACGTAAGAAATTGAGTGCACTTCATTTGTTTCTAATCTAATTGCTATATTAGGGATTTTCGTTGAAAGCTATTACATTTGCATGATATTGATTTCTTATATTACTTTGATGACTCAAAGCTCTTGATGTGCAACTTAACCTAAACGAAAGTGACTGCTCTTACGTCTTGATTCATTGTTTTATTTACTACTAGTTCTACTTGCTGTTACTCTGATCAATAAGCTGTGCAAGCTCTTATCAAAATCATTGCAAGCATTTTAGTCTTACATCACGATCTGCTGAGTTGTATGAGCGAGGGTTGAAGGCACCTTCCATGTACGAGGTGCGGACATGAATTTTAAAAGAGTTGCAGAACATAGAGCGGAGTATTGATGAGATTAAAAAGACATGGAGTGAGACAGGTGTTACCATTATGTCAAATGAATGGTCTGACATCAAGAGCAGGAGCATGATTAATATCCTTGTCAACAATTCCTATGGCACGATGTTTTTACGATCAGTTGAAGCTTCATATGAGATAAAAACGTCGATTTCATTTTCAATTTATTAGAGTTTTGGACCTCACTTGTTCTTCCTCTAGGTGTGAGTGAAATTGGAACACATATAGTCAAGTGCAAACGAAGAGCAGAAATCGACTTTCAACACTAAGAATCAACTCCCTTGTGTATATTTTGCACAACAATAGGTTGAGAGATAAGAGGTTGAGGAACAAGGGGTTGAAGGATGATAAAAACCCTTTGGTGTGTGATGATGTGACGTCTGATAATGAGTGGTTCATAGAAGATGAGACAGATTTGTTATTATCAGACCTGCAGCTAAAGGATCTAACTGTAGATGTCTTAAGAGGCAAAACAGATTAAGCGGGCACATCCACTAGTACCACACCACACACATCCACTAGTACTGCAGCACAACAAACAAACAAAAGTATCTCATAATTTCTTATGTGCTATTACATTTAAAATATATGCAATTAACAGCACACTAATTATTCTTATTGAACAGGGAAGAGAAAAATGGGTAAGATTGAAGATGATGAAGATTTTGCATTCATAGATACAATTGGAGATGAAGATGCCTCCATTGAAGACCCATTTAGAGATGGGACATGATTGAATTTTTGATATTCTTTCTTATTTGTACTTTGGGAGTTCTTATAGACTTCAATTTATAGTTTTGTACTTTAAATTATGTTATGAGATGCATATATTGCATCTATTTTATTGTTTTCAACTAAGTTCACTTTCTCTTTAGATATTTTTAAAGTATCATACTCTTACTGTTATTTACTTTCTAGAATACTTAAATTTGCATTTACATAATTCTTCATCCGTGAGGCTTATGCCTCACACCGCCTCGAGGCTTACGCCTCGCCTCATGGACGAAAAACGTCTGGAGGCTTATTTACGCAATTTTAAACATTGATTGGTCCTATCAATAATTCATTCAAAACTATTTATTGATTTCAAATATAAGTCAATTCATATTTATAAAAATAAGATTAAAAGATAATTTATTATAATTAAAATCTAATTGTATCTAAGCTAAATAAAATCCTAAATAATTCAGATTCAAACCTGTAACTATCCAAAGAGGATAACAAAGACTATTTTCAAACAAAATAATTTAAAAATTCCTAATTTAAATTACATAACAGAAAAAAAAAAATTATAAAAATAAAAATAATGCTCATTTCTTGTATCGTATCAATTCTCCTGGCGAGAAAACTCTTCACCTAAAGAGCTAGAATGATGTTGTAGACAAATATTGTCATAAATCCTCTAATCTGGAAGTAGTATTTTTTTATTTTTCTTATAAGACCTTTGATTTACAAATTTAGCAACAAGTTCTATCAAGAAGATATTTCCAATATGTGAAACCAATATTTATAAAGGTGAAATCACAAATGAATTTTTCCTTATCTTGAGATAACTCTCTCTCTCTCTCTCTCTCTCTATATATATATATATAGACACACTAGTGTATTGGATATTAGATTAATATATTAGGAAATAATGAATATGAAATATTAAATAAATTTATATCAAATATATTATATATTCCATTAATATACAAGATATGATAATACAGCCAAAACGGTCACAAAACTATTTATAAGAGGTCATTTTAATCCCAGCTATTTAATGTAATAAATTTAATCCCTTAACTCAAATATAATCTAAAATACTATTTATATTTGATTATTTTGGATTAGATTTGAGAAATCAATGGACTAGTTTGGATCATATTTGAGGAGTTAAGAGGCTATATTAAACACATTAGATACTCTGGAAATATAACAGACCACTATAATTATTCCAAAGACCATTTGGACATTTTTCTCTATAAAATAAAAATTATAGTTTAATTAGAAAAATTAACAGATTCAAAATATTAAATAGCTCAATACTATATCAAAATTAAATTTTAAATTATTAAAATACTAGAATAAAATAAAGATAGGTGTATCGAGGGCTTGGTAAGAACTAGCGAAAGGATAAGAAGAGGGTGTATCGAGGGCTTCATTAGCAAGTTTCATTGATGGGAAAAGCACAAGCCAAAAGATGCAATCCAAAAATATAGGCATGAAATCTCAAAAGGGAAGGACTCATTCAGCTCTGCACAAAATTGAGGGTGGTTTAAAGATGAAAGAGTGAAGAATAAAAAAAGAAATTGCATATACAACTTTGAGAGGGTTAAAGAAGAACATTGTTAATACAACAAGAAGCAAACGATGGACATAACATGCATCACAAAGATAGAAAACTCATAATAGGATTCATCAATAACATTTAATTGGCTCCAAATAGATGCCATGAATAATTATTTATAGAAATAAAGTATAAGGTGTAACCAATTCAAATCTAATCATAATCAACTAAATCTAATTCTAATTAATTCAAACTAAATCCTAGAATTATCCAAAAAGGTTGATTAATGTTAATTTAAAATAAAATAAATCCGTAAACCCTAATTTAAATTAAATAGCTAGAATAAACCCTTAAATATCTTTAAAAAAAATAAAAATAAATAAATAAAGCCTTAAATATCATAAATATAATTTCTTATGCTGCATCATTTATCTAAAGAGTAAACTAAAATAACATCATCAAACTTACAGATTTAGCAATTTGGAAGGAGCAGCACGCAAAATGACCAATACTTCCTTCAAACTCCACTTGCATTTTGATAAAGGCTCAAGTCTTTGCAAAATTGATAAGCGCCATTCCCAATCTTCAATAAGCTTTTGAACAGAACTTACCCTCCATTCTAAAGCCTGCCTTCCTGCTGCTGGCATACCATTGTTTAACCAGGGTTCTACCTCATCCATGTTTGGTAGATTGTGATGCAGTATGTCCAGTAAGAGACCAATAAAGGAAATCATCTTATTCCCACCTTCATATAAATTAGTGAAATCTGGCAGTTCACGGGAGTTGGGACAACTTGAGGCCACATGTGTAGGTTTAACAGCTATCTCGTCCATATGTAGTAATGAACTGATCATACTAATAATAAAGATCTGCATCAAACAATATGAAACTAATTAGGTTAAAGAAAATAGTACTTCGATTGGATGATATGCTCTCAAGCTGAAATCAGAGACTAGAAAAGCTCTGCAGGGGATCTTTAGGCTTTATGCGCTACAATAGAAATAATTTAAAAAGAAATCAAGCTAGCACATTGCGAGAATGAACTTAGTCTCAATAGATCAGAGAATAAAAATGACTATGGAGTTCATAATAGAGCTAGACTAAAACTTTTATAGCCTTAACGGAAATTTGAATAATATAGTCAACAGAATGTGTAATTTATAGTTTCATGTTCATCGACAATAGCACTTCAAAGTTCAAAATTCTACCATACAAAACAGTTAGCCCATCAGAACTTTGAATAATTTAGCTAACATAATATGAAAACCTTGAAAAGGATAACTACTTCAAATTCAAGGGCAGACTAGATGTTCTGGCAATACAACAAACATTTGATCAATATATATAAATACACACAGATATAGATATAGATATAGAGAGGGAGAGAGCAGTCCTAGCTGAAATGAAATGTATCTAGCATGTCTATACATAAGAAAAAGGGATGAAAGGAAAAGCTAACAAGCTGACTCAGAGACATGTTGAAGATCCTACTACTGCATGTAATGTGAAATCTATATTTGAAAGCTACATTAAGGGAAATATCTCCATAAAACTGCACAATTGATGAACAACTGAAAGCGTAAAATGAGGAAATGTAGAACATCAGAAATAGATATAACTATGATATTTGGAAAAAAAGAAAGTAAGGTTTGCTAAATTTCCAAATGTGAACCTTGCGAGGAATGTTATTGATAGCCTCCATGTGATTCTGCATATCTTTCAAATACCATATCGCTAAATGAAAGCGATCTTCCTTTCCATTATCCAGACACTCTTCCATGGCTCCTAAGGCAAGAACAACTGATTCAAGAGCATAGCGCATGTGCATGAGCTCAATATCTTGCATCCTATTAAAATCCATCAAAATAATTTAAGCAAAAGATTCCAAATAACAAAATTAACAACAATGAAATATAAATCAACACAAGCTACAGACCTCTTCCATGCTTCAGTTGTAGAAGCAATTGGCTGCAAGCTAAGGAGCTCAATCGCATCTTGAAACCTTATTCCAGGAACAACATCAAATAAAACCTACGAAGGTTTTACTTCTCAATACGTTTCTCAAAAATATAAACATTTGGAAAAGTGTAAGAGAACAACTTTATTGCCAGCACATGCAACTATATTTTTCATAAATAGTTGAAAATAATATATAAATAGGTAAGTTAATTGCTCATGCTATGGTACTGAAAAAACAAGAGAAATTTAAAACATAACGAACACAAAGAAATAGGTTGTAATCAGGCAGGGGGTCAGAAGAAGGAAACAATTAAGTTTTATACTTTCATGCCAACTGTAATCTAATGAATGAGAATTGGCAGCAAATTAATGATGAGAAGGTCACATTATCATCATTATTAAGTTCAAATAGGATTAGCTCATTTAACATCTAATACGTTTCTAAAATCATCAAATGTGTGTGCATGCACGTCCATGCCTGACACCTCTTAACTAATAAGAATTCAAACGTATAAAGGGGCATTTGCTTTTGTTTAAACTAAACTCATTGCCTTGCAATGCAAGAGGTGAAAAAAAGTTTAATTACTAATGCCAATTAATAATAAAAAATCCCCTTTTTTTCATCGATAGAATAATTATCTTTGTTGGAGAAAGCACTTTTTTGAATGGTTTGTTCACTAGAAGAGGGCTCCTCTATTTATAATGAGACAAAGTTATAAATAGCACTCAAATGCACACCACTCACTAAATAAAAAAAGATGTTCCAAACTAGATATTTTCATATGATATCACTCAACCTCAAGCTTGAGAATATATAATAACTAGATCAATCTTGTTATATAATTTGAAAATTGGAGAGGCCATTAATCCAACATAAAGATATCAGCTAATTGTTATTCACTAGCAACCTGAGTAATGATCTTACTAAACTGAACAACATCCACAATAAAATGATAGTAAACTTTGATCTATTTAGTCCTTTTATGGAAGACTAGAATGCAAGATAGGGGGTTGATCTTAATAGTTTAAAATCATAAGCAAAGTATGTCAAAAAGGTGTTTTACCAATATCATTTCTCAGAAAGAGCTATCATAATCATGTATTTTTCTTTTAACACTGAATATAGTCACAACCATTTGCTTCTTACTCCTCTATATCACAACATTTCCACCAACAAATTTAGAATACCCAAAAGTTGACTTTACTTTCAACGAATCCAATATAAATTAACATCCATAAAAACATCATTACAACTGATTATGTATTTGATAAACTAATCCTTTTTAGGGTGATATTTACGAATAGTCAAGACAACCTCCCAATTTCTTTTCTTTTTTTTCAAACTTTGCGTTCCTACCTAACAACAGCCACAACAAAGAATATATCAAATCTAGTGACAATCTGAAAATAAGCTTACCAACCATGCACTGATATCGAGAATCATATTTAATTTCTTTTCATCATTCACAAATGTTTAAAGAGCATCCTTAAACAGTCTACAAGCTTGCACCCAACAAGACATGATTATTCAAGAAGATCTGTAGCATATTTACTTCAAGAGAGAACACTTTCTTCACTAAATGCAAACTCAATGTCAGAAAAATATTTTGGGGGCCTGCGGTCTCTGATTAGAGGTATCTTTTGAAATTAATGTTTTGTTTTAGAAATGTAAAATGTGTAAATTTCTATGATAAGAATATTATCAACACACATAGCAAAAATCCTCATGTTAGAGTGTTATTAAGAAAGAATTATCAGTATTACTACTTCATAGTCCAACTTCAATTAGAACCCCATAGAGTTTGTCAAATCATGCACAGGAACTTTATTTTAACCCATATATAGCTTTAGGAATGTTGCATATTTTGGTCTCCCCCAGCGCAATGTACCTAGAACGTTACTCCATATAAACAACTTCAATGAGGTCCTTATAAAGTGAAGCATTGTTGAGATCAATCTACAGCATAATCCTCTAATATAATCACTGTTTACTTTATCCTTTCAAGTATTGCCACACATGCATCTTAACCTTCTCATTGCCACACTATACTTCATTATAAATAACTTTTTATATTCAACATCAGATCCATACAATATCATTAGTCAAATGATGATTTAATAAAATTCATCCTTAAGCATCCATGATCTCTTATCACACAAAACTCCGGAGGCACTTCATCATTTTAACCATTTAGCCTTAATTATAAAAGTTATTCCAACATCTATAGATTCAATCTTTTGTCTAACAAATAAAAGATACTTTGACCTATCACACTTATAAATGGCATTATCTTTTAATAGCATTAGATGATAATTGCTTATAGCATCCTCACTAAAAATATATATCATATATTCCATCTTTTTTCTACTAATTCCAAGGCCTCTATCACCCAAATATTTACCTCCGTCATTCTAATTTTTTACCTGATGCAAAAAGCATTCGTGTCTAGGGGGGTTTAGAGTGGCAACAGTGACAAGGTAGGGGAACTAGCGTGGGTGATAACAAGTACATGTAAGCAAGTGAGGAAGAACACTGGTACAAGATAGGACAAACACTACTGCAAGTGAGCAATGGTGCGTTGTGTAGGACCAAAAATCAGTGTGAAGCATGGGATACAAACATGGCGGGACAACCAACAACTAGGATGCCTACCAAAGAAGAAGGAACAAATACATTCCACAAGCATAAATGATAAATAGATCCACATATGTAATAAAGCACTAGTATAATCTTTCTTTTAAGTTTGGTTAGGTAGACTGGTTCTATATTGTAAATTTGGTCTACCCAAGTATTATAAATATCTTTCTTATTGTGATGAAAGACTAATGAATGAAAATTTTTAGTTTCCCTCATTTCCTTTTTTTCTAGCTTCTCTTTGAGTTTACGCCTACTCTAAAGAAGCGCCACTTCTTAGCCATCTAAGAAGAATAACAAATGGTGCTCTTGTTGCCCTAAATTCCCTCCCAGCCACTGCTTGCTCTCACTAGGCCGGCTGGCTAACTCCCACCCTCCTCTAGCGTAACAACACCCGCTCCCAAAGACACACCTTGTCCTCAAGGTGAAAAAATGGAAACTGCTACTTCACCCTCTCAGATGGGTCTCATTTGGCGTCATACTCGGGCATATTCGTCCATTTTATCATCACTTCCGTGATCCCTCCCTTTTCCTGTCGTTACCTCACAACTGCAATGGTTCCAACACCACCTTCAAATCCTCTTTTGGTATCACGGGTAACTCTGAATTGGATGCATGGTCACCAATAGCTCGCCTCAACTATTACACATGGAACACCATATGTATAATAGTGGTCGGGGTAGCTTCAATCCATAAGTCACTGATCCAATCCTCTCAAGTATCTCATTGGGACCAAAGCACCTCAATGCCAGCTTCTCATTCCTCCTATTAGCTACTGCCCCTTGTCTGTAGGGACAAAACTTCAAGTATACCCTATCACCTATCTCAAACTGCATGTCCTTCCTGTATCCATTCGCTTGCTTCTTCATGATTTGTTTAGCCCTCAACAAATGTCTTTTTAATTCATTCAACACCATATCTCTCTCCACCAAGTACTACTCAACCAACAAAAATGTTGTGCTACTATGCCCAAAGTGCACCAAGTGAGGTGAGTCTCTCTTGTACAACACTTTGAAAGGAGTCATCCGTGAAACCGTATGATATGAAGTGTTGTACCAGTACTCCACCCATGCCACTTGGCCCACAATTGAAGCGTCTCCGAAACAAAACATCAAAGGTAAGTCTCTAGGCTCCTTACCACCTCCGTCTGCCCATTCGTCTGGGGGTGGTAAGCGATGATCCTTTTCAATATTATCCCTACATCCTAAATAGCTCCTTTCAAAAAATGATTGGAGAACACCTTAACTCGGTCAAACACTATAAATTATGGTATCCCATGTAATCTGACCACCTTTCTGAAGAATGTCGCTGCCACTGTCACTGTTGTGTATGAATGTTGTAGGGGAATAAATGAGTATACTTACTCAATATGTCCACCACCGCCAAAATCATTATAAATCACTCAAACCTGGGTAGCCCATCAATAAAATCCATGGTGACCTCCTCCCACACTCTATTTGGAAGAGCTAGAGATTGCGGTAATCATCCCGGAGCTATATGTGCCCATCTGTCACACCTTATATCTAGCCACCATCTCTTCAACATCCTTATGCATCCCCTTCCAATACAACTTAGCTTCCAACCTCACGTACATCTTCAGCACCCCTAAATGACCACCGACAGCGCTCCCGTAGAACTACAGTGGAATGTAAGGAATATGGACCGAGGTCCGTGGCAACATAAATCTACTCTCGTATAGTAGTCTCTTCTCCTTTAAGGAATAGACAGAGAGGTTACTCTCATCTCTCAGCAGATCTTCCATAATCCCCCTTAACTCCTCGTCCTGAACACTCTCCTCCTTAACAGCCACCCATGCGTCTAGACAAGGCATCAGCTGCCTTGTTCCCTATCCCTGTCCTATAATAAATCTCAAAAACATACCCCAACAGCTTCGATAGCAACCTTTGATGCTCCTCAGTCACCATCCTCTTCTCTAGTAGGTACTTCAAGTTCATCTGGTCTGTCCTGACAATGAAATGTCAGCCCAGTAAGGATGTCACTTCTGAATGTCCAACACAATGGCCATCAACTCATAGAATAACTTCACCTAGCTTTGGCTATCAACGCCTGAGTGAAGTAAGCTATGGGCTTCTGATTTTGCATGGGCACCACCCCAAATCCATATCCTGATGTATTCGTCTCCACAAAAACTTGACTAAAATCTAGTAACCGGTATCGTGGTTTTGGTCTTCTTCAGTCTCACAAAGGCCTGGATAGTAGCCTCTACGCACAAAAACCTATCCTTCTTCATCTACACCATCAATGGTCATGCTATAGTGTTGTATTCCCTCCTGTAGTACCCAGACAACCCTAGAAAACCCCTTAGTTCCTTTATAGCCCAGGTAGTGGCCATTTTAGCATAGCCTCAATCTTGGCCTTGTCAACAGCCACCCCCTCCTAAGATATCATGTGTCTTAAGTACTCACATTGGGCTAGG